TCCTTATTTTATTTTATTTTATATTTTTGGTCTCAAGCAGTTCATGCAGAACACCACTAGGTCCCTGAACACTGACTGATCCTCAGAGACCCCCAGTAAAGCCTGCAGACATAGGAATGGCTGTGCCCTGTCCAAACCTAGACTCCGCACTTACAACTCACGGTCAGCCCTGGGCTGTGCGCGGTAATGCTTGGAACATGGTAATCACAGAGCGAACACAGATGCTAAAGAAAGAGACAGCGGGGCAGGGAGGAACCACATGAGTGATGGCAGGGAGACTTCAGGGAACCCACGAGAGCACCAGGAGGTGGGTGAGGCAGAAGGATGAGCTGTCTCGCCCTCGCTGGCATTTAGGGGCAATTACGTCCTATTAATGGCTGACAGCATAACTCTGCCCTGTGAGTCTGAGCACACCAGCATGGCCCACAGATGTGCTCAGCCCACAAATATGCAGTTGGCAACTCCTGAACTTTCAGTGACTTGACGCCAGCTGATCTGATCAGCAATTACGTTTTATTTTGGGGCCAGGGAGACAGCAGAAAACCGGGAAAATTATAAGACTTCAGAGTGCAGTATTTCTAAAGATAACAACCATAAACTTTTTTTAACCAATTGTTGTTTTAATGGTTACAGCTTTGCAGGGGACTAAAAAAAGAAAACCCTGGATACTAAAATCAGATTATAGCCAATTTTCCCAAGAGAGGTTTCAGTCTGTGTTCAGTAAAAATCTGAGTTTGATCTCTCTTTTCTGGAGTGGGGTTGGCTAATTCTGGCCCAGAGAACTTTGCTAGTAACTGAGTACCTGAGTACTGCATCGAGGTAAAAAAAAAAAAAAACCTGGATTTGTAGTTTGCCCTGGATTTGGAGCCTGATTCTGCCTCTTACTAGCTCTTACAGGCTATATGAAATTGCTGGCGTTGGGGCCAGGCAGTACCACATATGAAAGATCCTGGGTTCAAGTACCAGGACCTCCCAGAACACAGTGGGCACTTACGTATGTGGGGGTCTGGACTCACTGAAGCTAGGGGTGGGTCATGGCATAAAGACCTGTGGAGGGGGCGTCCCTTGCTCTTTTTTTTTTTTTTATCTCTTTTAGGGCAGAAAAGAAATTATAAACTTAAAAATTTATCAGCCTCAGGGCCAGCCAGTGGCATGGTGGTTAAGTCACTGATCCCACATGGCCGACTGCATGGTTCAAATCCCAGACTCAGTGGCTTGAAAATCACACCAGGCATATGTGCATAACTGCCCAAAATCCCAAGAGGAGACTGAGGAGGAAGGGATTGTGGTATGGTCATTTCCCCAGGGGAGACGCTTTCTTTCTTTCTTTTTAAGAGATTTTTGCCATAAAGCACATGTGCTTGCCAGAGAGTCAGAAAGCTAGAAATTACTGCTCCCCCCAGGGGAGATGGCCATTCCGTAATTCCTTTTTCTCTCATGAGTTGGGGCATGCATGCACACACACCCAGTCTGGGTCCAGGACTCAAACAGTGGTCAGTCACATGGAAGTCGAGCATCTCAATCACTCAGCCTGCTGGTTCCAAGGGGGATGCTTCTTATTCTTTCTCTTGGGAGCATATGCACACTGCACCAAACTAAAAAAAATTAAAAATTATTGGCCTCCACTCTCCCATCCATTAAAAGGGCTTATTCTGAGGATTAGCTGGGATGCTTGTAAGTATTTAGCTGTAGTGTGGGCCATGGCATTGGCACATGGTAAGCAAGAGGGCACTTTCTTATCAAAATGTTGGCTTCTGATCATCTAAAATAAACAGTTACTATTTTCGCCCAAAGAGCCAGTCAGCATGAGAAGGGAAACACCATCTCTGGGTTCAGTTTGGTTCCCAGTGATCAGAAGGTTTGTCATCTACCTCCGTGGTAACATCATTCTGGCTAGAGCGGCTTCAAAGCTTGGCTTGTAAGGAAATAAGAGAAATTGGAACTGAGTTCACACAGGAGCAGAATCTGAAAACACCTCATGGACACAAGACTGACCACCCCCGAGAGGATCACCAACCCCTTCTCTCCGAGGTCTGCAGCCTACTGCAGCCCAAATGATCACCACAATGTGCCTCCTAAAAGTAGCTCCAAAAAGTGCCACTTACTCAGCCTGCGTGGGAATGAAACATAACTGGACCTTGTAAAGGAAACCAGCCTAAGAAAAAACATCCCGAGACAACATCCCGAGGAAACGGGGCGACTTTCCTGCACGGACCGTTCCTGAGCTGTCAGCTCACAGGGCCCGGCAGCTTGGCCAAGACATCCCTGAGGGAGGGGGTGACTCAGCCACCTCCGCCCACAGCTGACTCCTTCTCCAGTCCCATCTTCCCTTCCCAAGTTCTCAGTTCCTGCTAGAAGCGTCTCATTCAGAAAACACTCACAATACCACCGGAAGGGAAAGATAACCTCTCCCCACCAGAGTCACCTCTCCCCTGACTGGCTTACAAATGGGCCATGAAGGGTCCACTCATTCCTGTCAACCCTGAATACCAAGACTAACCAGACAAGGCAGGCTGACCACACACAACCTCTTCACCCTTTTGTGCCCAGTGCCTGAGCTGCACACAGTAGGTGCTCCGAACAGCAGATAAAGAACTGAACGGCTGAGCCCAGGAATAAGCAAACCCCATAGGAGGCGCCGAGCAAGGCACAGCACCTCGTTCAGCCCTGCAAGGTAGGTATTGTTAACACCACACTATAGACGGGGGGAAAGTCTCAGAGGGGGTAAGTAAGCTGCCCACATTCACACAGCAAGGAACTCATCACACTAGGCTTTCAATCCAGGTCTGACTCTGAGGTCAAGGCTTCCGGTATCAACACCACCTTCATGGCTGCAAGTCATATTAACAGAGCTCCTACCACATCACAACAATCTCATCCTGCCAACATCCTGCAGAGGTTTTTAGATGGGAAAACTGACACCTAAATGAGGACTCGTCATGTATTCAAGGTTGCACAGTAGTTCGAGGTAAAGGAGGAATCCGAACTCAGGCTTTCATTCTTTCCATCACAAATATTTAGGAGCATCTGGGATAGGCCAGGCTCTGTGCTGGGTGCTATGGATATACCAGTAGACAGGACAGACAGACAGGGTGTATGCACTTCCCATCCGGAAGGACAGCTTGTTCAGGAATAGCTTGTCTGGGGACACTGCTTGTTGCCCATAGCATTTCCTCCAAGACCAAAAGGGCTTCAGCAGTTTGATTTTGAAGGAGAAAATGACCTGAGTGGCTAGCCCATAGCCTGGAGGTTAGGGGAGCTGGATCCCACATGGCCAACTGCATAGTTCGGGTCCCAGACCAGGTGGCTTGAAAAACACACCAGGTACATGTGTGTGCATGCCCGAAATCCTAAAAAGAGGGAGAGAAGGAGGAAAAGGGATGGTCATGTTGGGTGCTTTCTTACCCACGCCCATCTCTGTCCTCTCCAGGGAGCACAAGGGCCCTCTAACAAATTTTTAAAAATGAAATTAGGGGAGCTGGATCCCACATGGCCAACTGCATAGTTCGGGTCCCAGACCAGGTGGCTTGAAAAACACACCAGGTACATGTGTGTGCATGCCCGAAATCCTAAAAAGAGGGAGAGAAGGAGGAAAAGGGATGGTCATGTTGGGTGCTTTCTTACCCACGCCCATCTCTGTCCTCTCCAGGGAGCACAAGGGCCCTCTAACAAATTTTTAAAAATGAAAGAAAGAAAATAACCTGAAAATAGAGGCTGTCAGCACAAAGATGGGAATAATCTGTATCAGCATAGCCCAGGCTGGTTTCAACAAGGGTTACCAGAAATCCTCTCCTTCGTCAAAGCCTGGTTCTGAAGATAGCTGGTGTAGGCAGGCTGGGAAACTTGCCTATATTTGTCAGATTGTCTGGACACCAAAGGAAACCTAAATATCAAATTCCCCACTGAGTCACTCCAGAACCTAGGAGAGAATGCCTCAAGCAATCTGAGTTAGCAATTCCAAGGGTAATCTAGCCTCCTCAAAACAAGAGCTCCAAAGTGTTGGGGGTGGCAGAAGCATGAATTAACCTGGCTAGGCTGCCCATCATGCAAATCTGAGTCCGTTTTTCTAGAAGACAGTGCAGCAGAGAAACTGGGAAGAGAGGTAACATCAGAAAGTTCTCAGACATATCCCTTTGCATGAGTTCTAAGAATCCAGTACCTTTTAGGGCCAAGTTCTAGTTTCCTCCATCAAACACCTTGGTCCACAGAAATACTAGATTAAGAATTTGATACAAAACAAAGCCCAAGACTCTAGCCAAGCAGTGCTTTCTCCTCCTTTCTAAACGACTATGAAAGACAGTTCACGACGCAGCCAATGACTCACCTGCTCTTGGTTTCAAGTGCTCATTAATGCTTCCCCCAAAAGGACCCACCCTGGAGTCTCTGCATCAAGACCCACACACTGTGGAAGTCATCGCCATGGTGACCAGGCCTCCTAACTTTGTTCCCTGCTTTCCGGAGAGGATACTTTTCCTTACTCAGAACATTTTTGGCTCAAATGAGAGCTCTTTTCAGAATCAACAGCAGAGGCCACATTTGTGCCTCCTTAAACTAATGAGTCAGAATGACTGTTAGCCACTTAGCACAAAGTCCTCCCATGCAAGGGAGGTAGGGTAAGGGGGACATCGTGGGGCTTTAACAATCAAAGGGGGAAGTTGGGTGTGAGTTTACCACATGGGAGCCTTCTTCAGGGGTGCCAAAGGGGAGACCACACAGCTCACTGGTTCCTCAACTGCAGAGTCCCATTGCTGGGACACGTGACTGTGCATCTCTGGGGGACCAAAGCCCACGTAGGTCCAGCACGAAAACCAGGCCTTGCCAGAATTTCAGAGACGTTATTTAGAGGAAGGATAATGAGAAAGTAAGCACCAAAGGTAAACACCTGCCTCTGGGAGATAGCACCAAAGAACCCAACGTGCAGTTTTTGCTGCCACTCCCAGCTCCCCCACTTGGACAAGTGCTGACTGGGTCGAGGGAGCAGAACAGTCCCCGAGGCTTACCTGGATGGGGTTGTAGAGCTCCTGCAGGGGGCTTCGGGACCCCTTCCGGCAGCAGATGTCCACACCAAAGGGATTCCGCCGCATGACTGAGGAGAGAAAGTGAAGGCACATCAGAGAGGAGCAACATTCTCTGCTGTCTGACAAAGGAAAAGGCGTAGAGAAGGGAACGGCAAGAGAGCCAGCTTCTAGCGAAGAGCACTTTCCACTGCTGTTCCTTTATCTCAAAGCGCTGCGAGACGTCTGTCTTCCCCAGCATTCAGGCACCGGGGAGATCTCCGGACATGAACTTGCAACCTTTCCCCATGGCTCAGCCTTGAAGAGCATTTTATCACTGTGCCACTGCCCAGCCTCCCCAGCAAGTTTTTAAGAAACACAGACAGGTCCCTACCACTCACTGAGATGAAACCGCTGACACAAAGCAGGGTAAGAGTTGTTCTAAGAGAGAAGGTTCTACCAAGAGCCAGGCTTGGTGATACGGCCCAAGACCTCGCTGAGTGCACCAGGCATGCGCATACCATGATCCGGGCTGGCTGGAGCTACAGGTGGATTGTGGGGTTAAGACCCCATTGGGAGTGTTGTCTCTATCTCTCTCACGCAGAAGAAACAGACACATAAAGGTTTTATAAAAACCTTGCTAGGAAGAGGTTTTTAGCATGATTTATATCCTTCTGAGAGTGGAGGTGGGAAGAAAGGAAGGAATAAAGGTTAGAGATGGAGGGAAGGTAGGATAAGAGGAAAGAAGGTGAGAAGGAGGAAGGATGGCAGGAGAGAAGGAAAGAGAGAGGGATGATGGGGAAGGAAGGAAGGAAGGAGTGAGGGGAGAACAAATAAACACTGGTTTCCGCTCAAATAGGAAGCATTTTTCTAATGGAGGGGCAGGAGCAGAGCAGGGATAGCAGAGCCTTTCATAAGCCTGAAGAAGTCATCAGCTTTGTAGTGGCAGCTGGGTGGACAGCAGGACATTCCATGGATTTGAACACTGGCTCTACAACGTGCCAGCAGTGTGACCTTAATCAAGTTACTTAATCCCTGTGCCTCTGCTTCATCACTTGTGAAATGGGAGGAGACAAGTACCGAACTTCCTGGGTTGGTTGTGGGGATTAAGTGAGAGCACTACACGCAGGACACAACACACAGCTGGCAAATAGCCGATGTAAAATAGTGTGGGGGATAAATGTCTATGGCTATTCTAGAATGTAAGGTAGATTTCACACATTACAACCTATGACAAAAGTTGCCCCGGGAGGCAAGCAGGAACTTCTCTACCCGTGAGCTACCAAGTGATATTAAAATTTCTCAGACCTTGGGACCCAACGGCTATGTTGTTGGACTCCTATGTAGCCAACTGTGGTTTGAATCCCGAACCTGGTGGCTTAAACTCATGCTGGGCGCGTGTGCGTGCATGCACAAAATCCTGAGAGGAGAATGGAGGAGAAGGGATTGCAGCATGCCCCCCCCCCCCGGGAGGTGATTTCTCGCTTTCTGCCTCTCTGTCTCTCTGTCTTCCTGGTGAGCGCACATGCCCTAACTTGGTGGGCTGGCTGGAGAGGGCTAAACCCAGGCCCTCTGCTCACAAGTCAATCTGTGGTCCAAAAGTTAGGAAAGGGAGTCGGGTGGTGGCTGAGTGGTCATGTGACTGAACTTACATGAGAGCAGTCCTGGTTCACATCCCAGGGCTTACTTGACCCCAGTGGGCTGGCTGAGATTGGGGTGGATCATGGCAATGAAGACCCTCTTAGGGTGCTTCTGTCATGTGTGTGCACACGTGTGAGACAGTGAGTGTCTGTACGTCTCTTTCATGGAAGAAAGAAAGAGAGAGAGAGAGAGAGAGAGAGCGAGAGAGAGAGAAGAAAAGCGAGCAAGGTCATCTCCACAGCCAATTACTTTCAGAAGGTCTCAGGTAAACGACTCTCTCTTTTTTCTTTTTTAATTATTTTATTTAACTCTTTATTTATTTATTTATTTTTAAATTTGACCAGAGGAGGACAGAGTGAGAGAGAAAAACAGAGAAAAAGAGAGGGAGGAAGGGAGGGAAAGTGAGAAAGTAAGCTGCCAGGTCTGGGACTCGAACCACATTCAACCATGTGAGAATCCAGCGCCCTTAACCACCATGCCACCTGCAACCACTCCCTCTTGTTGAGCCTCCTCTTGGCCTTGCCACTTTGAGCCTCGCAGGCACTCTGACAGTAAATCAGCAACTCCAGGACACTGGAGGCCACATTCTCTCTCTTCTTCCTTTCCTTCCCAGAGCAGGGATTCACGGACATTTTCTAAAAAAGGCTGGACAGTATTTAGGCTTCGTGCCCTACACGCTGCCATCATGCTTCGACTTGCCCATCACGGTAACTAAACGACGCAGAAGTGAATGGGCACTACTGAGCCAATACGACTTCATTTTCAGACAGAGAAATCTGAATTTCCCATCATTTGCACGTGTCTGGAAATATTAATATTATTCTTCTTTTGATTTCAACCCCTTCATGCAGACAGGCAGTGGGCTGGATTTGGCAACCCCTGCCCTGAGAGAATGGCTCCGGGCATTCTTGGGGTCGGCAGTACAAGCTCCTTACACAGCCCGCATGCCCTGCAGCCCTCCCTGGGGAGGAGGGGGATTGGCAGACAAATGTCAATACAGAAAAGCCATTGGAATTTGATTAG